GAATAGGTCTAAGTGCACATCTTTGTGGCGCTTCTGTAGGTCCGGAAAATTTAATTACGAAGCTCACCACTTTCAACTTTTGATCCTGTTTTCTAGCACGAGAACGTTCCTCTTTGACACTTCGCCGCAAATTCTCTTCGGCCGTGATGATTTCTTCGTCTTGAACTTCATACCGCGAAAGACGTTCACGTAGAGACAACAATTCTCTCTGCAGTTGTTCGATAACATTGTACTCCACCCCTTTTTCTTCATCCCAAGTGGTTAGAAATTCTGAATGGAGCTTAAAGTACCTACCTTGAGCCTCTTATTTTCAGCAGAGTACGAGGCTATCTGTTCAGCGTCTTTTTCTATGCGTGCGCGTAGTTCATCCATTTCCATCTTGGCGTAATCAGCCACGCACAACGCGTTTCGCAAGGTTATCTCACCATTGTGAACTGGAAGAAGCTTCAATTAATGATAGGTGCGCAGAGTTAAGTAAGGCCGCGTTCACACTTCGCGTCAGCGTTCCGAGCAGGGCACATCATTGGTTGGGGATTTTGGTCAAGTCCGTACGATTCCTCTCCTTTTTTGGGTTGGTACGATCCTCTCCCGCCCTCTGCCCTCCTCATCGAGCTCTCTACGGGGTGGGGTAAATAGCCTTAGGAAACGGGAAAAGCCTTGAGAAAAATACGCCCCTCCTCTAGCAATTCTCAGATTTTCCCCAACTTCCTGCCGCTTTCCAAATTTCCGAAAATTTCCCTACTTTTACCCAAAAATTTTGCTGTCGAGAGGGAGAGGGGGGAGGAATATAGTACACATGAAACAGGAAAATCACGAAAAGTCAACCACCTCTCCCAGAAGGCCAGAAAGTAAACAGAAAGTAAATACGACCCCCCCCTCCCAACAACGAGCAAGTACGACCCCCCCCTTTACAACGTCCACGAAGCGAGAAAATCAACTATCAAAATAAATTTTTCACAGCCCAAATACTGATACTATACTAATGCTATAATACCCGACCCCCCCCTCTCCCGGCGATCGAATACGACCCCCCTGTCGGGGAATCCCCAAAAACGATATGCTCTGGTTCCGAGTGCACGGCAGCCGGCAGATTTTCAGCAATCGCCCCAAAAAAGCTCAAAACTACCCGCGAAAACGCTCAAAGCAATAGAACGATACCAGCACTTTGCTAATCTCTCAAAACGCTGCCGTTCTCTGATGACGCTAGATCCATGCCTACACTTTCTAAGGCGCTTGAAAAGCTGACGCAGGGTATGAACGCGGCGAAAAGGATAGTTAAGCAATTGCATTATGACTGTTTCGGCTCATTTCGAATGACAACAAAGATTAGGGGAACACTACATGCTCTCATCTGACCTATGCTAGATAAGAACTGACAACATGAAATTTCGCCGCTTATGAATCCTCATTTGGGGTGTGGAAGGAACTCTGCTTTCCTTCAGAATCACAGTATCCTGGTAGGGCTTATGCAGTGACTTGCGAGGCCAGTCAATTAGCTGTTTTTATCTTCTCACACCAGTACGGTTGCTTGGCTCCGAAAGCAGGGAATAGCATCGTTGTGTGGAACACATGGGATATCGTATTTGGGAGAGGGGGGTGCCTTTCGGAGAAAAACTGGAAAATGTGGGAAATTTTGGAAAAGATGGTGGGCTGGGCTGGTGGGAAGCTGGGAACTGAACATGTAGGAGGAAGTGGTACGTAGGTGTTTGGGGAGGGGGGTCGTACCGAGGCCTTCCCTTGAGGGGTGAGGGTCGTACCGACACCACCATTTCACACATCACGATGCTGTACGTTGCCTGAGAGACTAAAGGCTCGGCTATCTTAGGAAGACGACTAAACAGGATTCGACTCTTAAAACGGTGCGTAGTACGTGGCAGTACTAGCTTTGCATTAGCTTGGTCCAGCATAGAGACTGCATACGGCGGAGGGGAACTTGATTGGGGAACCTTTGCAAACTCACGTTCAACTCCCATGTCATGATTTTCGGAGGAAGTTAGCTGTGATAAAGCAAGGCAACGTTCCTTCAGATTCGAAATGGATAGGGAGTCGTTATAATCCTGAAATCACAAACCCTTCAGTCTCTGTAGGAATTCCTGATGACACTTAGGGAACCTCACCCTTATGAAGAACTCCGTGAAAAGCCTGTTGTGTGATGGTAATAACGACGATGGACTGACAATATTATCGACTTCAATATTCCAGCGAGAAAAGAATCGACGAGGCACTGGTGGTCGAGGACCATCACCGATTTCTAAGCGATCGTCTGCACGCGCAACTCGAACAGCTTGCGATTCTTCAGCAAAGGCTAAGACATTCTGGAAAGAGGATTCATAGCCTAGAAAAATGCAGAAGTGATCATTTACAGCAGTTAGAAGTGTCAATCGTACCAGATTTTCTTCAAAGTCAGACGGTTTTGGGTTGGCACAGATAATCATACGGATTTTTCCAGCGCCCTCGTCCAGAAATTTTTGAAATAACCATAGTCAATTTGGCCATACGCGATATGGAGAACACGTCTCATTGGATTGCACTCGGGATATTGTCTGAAATATCAAGCACTGACGATGATGACTAGGGCCCTAATGTACATTCCAAGATGACGAATAACAGAGTACCTAGTTTTTCAAACCACTGTTCGCAGAACCCATTGGCTCTTGTGCATAAGACTGCAGCTCAGCAAGACGGTCACAACATTCTGCAGTCCTTTTCCTCTGAAATCAGTCTATCTATATATAAACGCACGTACGTCTGGCTGTTTGTCTGTTTGTCTGTTTGTCTGTCCTGCTCTGTCTTCCGGAAATTCGGCAATCACTGAAGAGCCAGTTGGAGGGGGCGGGTCAAGGGTGGGGTTGGGTAGGGCATGGGCCAAGATGTGCGGAACACACGTGAACCGAGCTAAGCCCCGCCCACTGTGGGCGGGGCGTGCGCACAGTTGTGAGCTACATATTTCAAAAATTCGTAGTCCGTTCTAGAAGATCCCGGAGAGCGGAAATTGTGGTAAGGATAAGCAGTCAGTGGGGGATGATACATGAAGGAGTACCAACCCGTATGGCGAGCTGCCCATAGTGGCCGGTGCTCGCTAAACACTTTTTCAAAATTCGTTAACTTCGGTTCCAGAAAATCCCGGAGAGTCGGAAAATATTGTGGAAACAAATAGCAAAACATTGCGGACGGAATGAATGAAGCACACCCACGATGGGCAGGGCGTGCGCCGAAGTGAACGGTGCCGGGGATAAAAACCCTCAAAATACATCCGAAAAACTCCAGGAAATGGGGAGTAAGTGAAAATGAGCAATGGTTGGGCAGATGATGTTAGTAAGGGATAACCGTAGGGTATACCAAGTGGTTGGTGCCGTCGGCAATAATTCATAATTCGTCCCAACACCACAGCTGTAGGACATCAAATAGCAGTGAACGGTATGTGCCATAGTGAATGGGAGTCAAAATCAAGAATTCGTAAATGAGTATGTTTATTTATTTGTTTATTTACCCATTATTTACTGCACAACAATTTAGGCAAATGCACCCTGCTTCCGTTCATCCACTAAACATCCAATACCGACAGACCACACATTGACTGTACAGTAGTTTCACAGCTGTTTACCATTGAGAGGGGTACTTGAAGATTTCTATCCTATCCTATCCTACTATATATAAACGGCAATCTGTCGCGTCGTTTGTCTGTTTGTCTGTTTGTCTGTCTGTCTGTCTGTCCGGAAATTCGGAATCACCTGAAGAGCCAGTTGGAGGGGGCGGGTCAAGGGTGGGTTGGGTAGGGCATGGGCCAAGATGTGCGGAACACATAACGGCTTAAGCTCCGCCCACTGTGGGCGGGGCGTGCGCACAGTTGTGAGCTACATATTCAAAAATTCGTAGTCCGGTTCTAGAAGATCCCGGAGAGCGGAAATTGTGGGTAAGGATAAGCAGTCAGTTGGCGGATGAAATGAGGGAGTCACACCCGTGATGGGCGAGGCGTGCCATAGTGCTAGCTCGCATACCACACTTTCCAAAAAATTCGTATAATTCGTCCACGAGATCCCGAGAGCGGCAAATTGTGACGGAAACAATAGGCAAACAGTTAGTGCGGACGCACATGATATGATGAAGACACACACACAGATGGCAGGGGGCGAAGTGAACGTGCGCGGATAAAAATCCTCAGAACTACATCGACAAAAACTCCAGGACAATGGGGGTAATCAGTGAAAATGAGCAATGGTTGGGCAGATGATGTTAGTAAGGGATAACCGTAGGGTATACCAAGTGGTTGGTGCCGTCGGCAATAATTCATAATTCGGTTCCCAAACACAAGCTGTGGGCATAATACAGCACGTACACGGTAGTGTGCACATAGTGAATGGGAGTCAAAATCAAGGATTCGTAAATGAGTATGTTTATTTATTTGTTTATTTACCCATTATTTACTGCACAACAATTTAGGCAAATGCACCCTGCTTCCGTTCATCCACTAAACATCCAATACCGACAGACCACACATTGACTGTACAGTAGTTTCACAGCTGTTTACCATTGAGGAGGGTACTTGAAGATTTCTATCCTATCCTATCCTATCCTACTATATATAAACGGCAACGTCTGTCTGTCTGTTTGTCTGTTTGTCTGTTTGTCTGTCTGTCTGTCTGTCCGGAAATTCGGAATCACCTGAAGAGCCAGTTGGAGGGGGCGGGTCAAGGGTGGGTTGGGTAGGGCATGGGCCAAGATGTACGGAACACACGTGAACCGAGCTAAGCCCCGCCCACTGTGGGCGGGGCGTGCGCACAGTTGTGAGCTACATATTTCAAAAATTCGTAGTCCGGTTCTAGAAGATCCCGGAGAGCGGAAATTGTGGGTAAGGATAAGCAGTCAGTTGGCGGATGAAATGAGGGTCACACCCGTGATGATGGGCGAGGCGCTGCCATATAGGTGGGCGGTGCTCGCTACAACACTTTCAAAAATTCGTAATTCGGTTCCAGAAGATCCCGGAGAGCGGAAATTGTGGGAAACGATAGGCAAACAGTTGGCGGACGGAATGAATGAAGCACACCCACGATGGGCAGGGCGTGCGAATGTGAACGTGCGGGGATAAAAATCTCTAATACTCGAAAAACTCCAGGAATGGGGAGTAAGTGAAATATGAGCCCAGTGGTTGCGGCAGATGAATTTAAGTAAGGATACCGTAAGGAGTATACAGGTGGTGAGGTTGACCTCGGCAATATTCATATTCGCGTCCCAAACACACAGCTGTGGCATAATAGCAGTGAACGGTATGTGCCATAGTGAATGGGAGTCAAATCAAGGATTCGTAAATGAGTATGTTTATTTATTTGTTTATTTACCCACTATTTACTGCACAACAATTTAGGCAAATGCACCCGCTTCCGTTCATCCACTAAACAATCGAATACGACCAGACCACCATTGACTGTAACAGTAGTTTCACACTGATTTACCATTTGAGAGGTACTTGAAATTTCGTATCCATCCTATCCACTATTATATAACCGGCAACGTCCATTGTCTGTTTGTTTGTTTGTCTGTTTGTCTGTCTGTCTGTCTGTCCGGAAATTCGGAATCACCTGAAGAGCCAGTTGGAGGGGGCGGGTCAAGGGTGGGTTGGGTAGGGCATGGGCCAAGATGTGCGGAACACACGTGAACCGAGCTAAGCCCCGCCCACTGTGGCGGGGCGTTGCGCAACGTTTGAGCCATACACTATATTCAAAAATTCGTAGTCCGGTTCTAGAAGATCCCGGAGAGCGGAAATTGTGGGTAAGGATAAGCAGTCAGTTGGCGGATGAAATGAGGGAGTCACACCCGTGATGGGCGAGGCGTGCCATAGGTGGGCGGTGCTCGCTACAACACTTTCAAAAATTCCGCTAATTCCGGTTCCAGAAATCCCGCGAGAGCGGAAATGTCGGGACAAGTAGCTAAACAGTTGCGGACGGATGAAATGAATGAAGCACACCCACGATGGGCAGGGCGTGCGCCGAAGTGAACGGTGCCGGGGATAAAAATCCTCAAAATACATCCGAAAAACTCCAGGAAATGGGGAGTAAGTGAAAATGAGCAATGGTTGGGCAGATGATGTTAGTAAGGGATAACCGTAGGGAGTATACCAAGTGGTTGGTGCCGTCGGCAATAATTACATAATTCGTTCCAAAACAACACAGCTGTTGGCATAATATCAGGAACGGTATGTCCATAGTGAAGTCGGGAGTCAAAATCAAGGCATTCGTAACATGACGTATGTTATTACTTTGTTTATTTACCATTATTTACTGACAACAATTTAGCAAATAGCACCCCTGCGCTTCCGATTATCACTAAACATCATACCGACAGACCACACATTGACTGTACAGTAGTTTCACAGCTGTTTACCATTAGGAGGGTACTTGAAGATTTCTATCCTATCCTATCCTATCCTACTATATATAAACGGCAACGTCTGTCTGTCTGTTTGTCTGTTTGTCTGTTTGTCTGTCTGTCTGTCTGTCCGGAAATTCGGAATCACCTGAAGAGCCAGTTGGAGGGGGCGGGTCAAGGGTGGGTTGGGTAGGGCATGGGCCAAGATGTGGAAACACACGTGAACGAGCTAAGCCCCGCCCACTGTGGGCGGGCGTGCGCACAGTTGTGAGCTACATATTTCAAAAATTCGTAGTCCGGTTCTAGAAGATCCCGGAGAGCGGAAATTGTGGGTAAGGATAAGCAGTCAGTTGGCGGATGAAAATGAGGAAGATTCACACCCGTGATGGGCGAGGCGTGCCATAGGTGGGCGGTGCTCGCTACAACACTTTCAAAAATTCGTAATTCGGTTCCAGAAGATCCCGGAGAGCGGAAATTGTGGGAAACGATAGGCAAACAGTTGGCGGACGGAATGACATTATGAAAGCACACCCACGAATGGGCAGGCAGTGCCGAAGTGAACGGTGCCGGGGATAAAAATCCTCAAAATACATCCGAAAAACTCCAGGAAATGGGGAGTAAGTGAAAATGAGCAATGGTTGGGCAGATGATGTTAGTAAGGGATAACCGTAGGGAGTATACCAAGTGCTTGGTGCGTCGGCAATAATTTCATAAATTCGAGTTTCCAAACACACAGCTGTGGCATCAATAGCATCGGAACGGTATGTGCCATAGTGAATGGGAGTCAAAATCAAGGATTCGTAAATGAGTATGTTTATTTATTTGTTTATTTACCCATTATTTACTGCACAACAATTTAGGCAAATGCACCCTGCTTCCGTTCATCCACTAAACATCCAATACCGACAGGACCACACATGACTGTGAACAGTAGTTTCACAGTTGTTTACCATGAGAGGGTACTTGAGATTTCTATCCAGTCCTATCTAACATATACCATATATTAAACGGCGCAAACGTTGTTTGTCTGTTTGTCTGTTTGTCTGTTTGTCTGTCTGTCTGTCTGTCCGGAAATTCGGAATCACCTGAAGAGCCAGTTGGAGGGGGCGGGTCAAGGGTGGGTTGGGTAGGGCATGGGCCAAGATGTACGGAACACACGTGAACCGAGCTAAGCCCCGCCCACTGTGGGCGGGGCGTGCGCACAGTTGTGAGCTACATATTTCAAAAATTCGTAGTCCGGTTCTAGAAGATCCCGGAGAGCGGAAATTGTGGGTAAGGATAAGCAGTCAGTTGGCGGATGAAATGAGGGAGTCACACCCGTGATGGGCGAGGCGTGCCATAGGTGGGCGGTGCTCGCTACAACACTTTCAAAAATTCGTAATTCGGTTCCAGAAGATCCCGGAGAGCGGAAATTGTGGGAAACAATAGGCAAAACAGTTGGCGGACGGAATGAATGAATGAAAGCACACCCCAGCAGGGCGTGACGAAGTGAAACCGGTCCTGGGATAAAAATCACTCAACTTACATCCGAAAACTCCAGCGAAAATTGGGAGAAGTGAAAATGAGCAATTGGTTGGCAGTGATGTTAGATAGAGGATAAACCGTAGAGATTACAAGTGCAGTTGGTGCCGTTCTATTTGTGCGTCCTCATACACCTTGACCTGGAAGCACTGTATAGGAAAATTTTGTGACTGTCTGCTAGGGGGTAATATCACTAGCAAGTGAAACGGTCCAATCAGCTGCTCCGTAATTCTCAAAACAATTTTTTTTCGACCATTCGACCGGCTAAGCACCGGGACCCACTTCACACCCGGAAGGAGGATCGGCCGGCGAAGCCGGCCGATCCGACTGGCCCTCCCTCTCATGGAAAACTTCTCGCCGGGACCCACTTCACACCCGGAAGGAGGATCGGCCGGCGAAGCCGGCCGATCCGACTGGCCCTCCCTCTCATGGAAAACTTCTCGCCGGGACCCACTTCACACCCGGAAGGAGGATCGGCCGGCGAAGCCGGCCGATCCGACTGGCCCTCCCTCTCATGGAAAACTTCTCGCCGGGACCCACTTCACACCCGGAAGGAGGATCGGCCGGCGAAGCCGGCCGATCGACTGCCCCTCGCACTCTCATGAAAACTGCTCGCCGGACACTTTCACACCGGAAGGAGGATCGGCCGGCGAAGCCGGCCGATCCGACTGGCCCTCCCTCTCATGGAAAACTTCTCGCCGGGACCCACTTCACACCCGGAAGGAGGATCGGCCGGCGAATCCGGCCGATCCGACTGGCCCTCCCTCTCATGGAAAACTTCTCGCCGGGACCCACTTCACACCCGGAAGGAGGATCGGCGGCGAAGCCGGCCGATCCGACTGGCCCTCCCTCTCATGGAAAACTTCTCGCCGGGACCCACTTCACACCCGGAAGGAGGATCGGCCGGCGAAGCCGGCCGATCCGACTGGCCCTCCCTCTCATGGAAAACTTCTCGCCGGGACCCACTTCACACCCGGAAGGAGGATCGGCCGGCGAAGCCGGCCGATCCGACTGGCCCTCCCTCTCATGGAAAACTTCTCGCCGGGACCCACTTCACACCGGAAGGAGGATCGGCCGGCGAAGCCGGCCGATCCGACTGGCCCTCCCTCTCATGGAAAACTTCTCGCCGGGACCCACAGATCGGAAGCGGGACCCAC